AGCTTCAGTGGTCCCAGAGACAAATTGTTGTTGTATGTTGGGGAGGGGAGGAATTGGGCGTACCCCCCCTTTCCCTATACTCCTTCCTAGGGGCGTAGACGTGGCCGGAGGCCTCCTTAGAGGAGTCTCCATGGAAGGAATTCAGCTTATTAGGGGAGAGTAAGAGAGATTGAGCGTTTTAGAACAAAAAATTCAATCTACGAAAAAAGGTGTTGTTGTTATTAGCCTTTTAAAATGTTCTTTAAGTGTATTATAGTACTTTAAAGTATATACTATTATTCTAATTAATTAGATCAACGAAACGCCTCTCAATCTATTTTTTTTCGTTACCTGAAGTCGCTAATCTAACTCAAATCAAATCAATCATGATTTAGTTGATTACTGATTGATTAGTTGATTAATTCGTTCTCACGCTGAGAATTACTCATAGAATAAAGCATTCCATAAAGTCCATAAAGGGGGGAGGAAGGGGGGGGGTCTAGTATGGAATAGAATTCCAGATGCCGAACGCTGCTTAAAACATAGTGGTTTGCCAACCAGGTCGCATTTCCAAGTATTTGAGCCTCATTTCGACCCACTTACCGAATCCATTTATATGTAATAACCTTGTACGCACGTTTGCACATGGCACTCTGGTATCTGACCTCGGGTATTTTGCGAGACAGCGGAGAACAAGTTTGTATGTGAGACCCAAACACAGCTACAAACCAATTTCAGTCGGGTTCTTTTCGTACTCGAGGGTTACGGATCTAAACTCACATTCCCAATACATAATCATAATTCTAAGCTCTTCAAATACACGTGGTTCGTGGCTGCTCAGAATATGTCCCAGAGGCAGCCAAAGCCGCCAACAATGTTGAGACGCAATATAAACAAAAGACTGCCAAAGTATGAGCTACTATCTCGAGGTTCTTATTATAGAACTTGGTGTGGGAAGTTTCGGGGCTATCCTCAAAGCTCCCTTACCCGCTTTCTCGTTAGCTGTAAAACTGGAGAACCATGGTCCATATATACGACCGGTAAGTTAGTTCTAATTTATATTACTAGAATAATGACGCAAACTTTGACTCTACATACCAGAGCCAAATTCTCGTCAAAGCTATCAAAGATAAAAACAGAACCTGAAGATAATCGGTGTCCACATCACGTCGGCGTTTGGCGGCTGTTATTCTCCCAGGCTTCACTTGCGGTAGAAAGACCTGACAAGTTACAAGCATAGACAGCTTAGTGGGTAACAAATGATCTTTATCCTTAGAAGTCATATCGTCCTAAGGAACTTAGTAGTCCTATATAAAATCCTTAGAGTCTTGTTATTAAAACTTGAACTTAGCGACAATAATTACAGGACTATAGGTATGTACAGTAAAACCTGTGTATAAGTACTACCAGACACTATATTGTATATTCCTAGCACTTGTATGTACGACCTTGTCCTCGTCTATGCCAAAACCCTCGCTGTAAGGAAAAGCTCGATTATATCCTTACAAAATACGTTCCTAACCATGTCCTTCTATTGAGGGTTATCTGTACCTACAATCATTATCTCTTGCTGACAACCGATATCCCTTCCAGGGTATCAAGCAACAAAAAAACGTGCACTCCTGAACGGAGCAAAGTTGTCCACTTTGTAATATATGCTCTCTAGAACAGAGTCATTTTGCGAACCCGACCAGGGTTCTAAGCATTTCGACGTATGTTTTATATATAAATATATAGATACATACTTATATACATATATAAAGAGGTAGTGTTGACGTAGAGTATTTTAAGCAAATTAACAGAATCCGCACCCTGAAAGCTACAGCGATATTCATAACGTGTGTTAAAAACGTGATTTTCAGGAACGCCAAAAAAAAAGTGTAAACGTAGCATCGCGATATAGCCCTATCATATTATAGAACAACCACACTTCTAGGGCCTAAGCCCTTTATGGAGATCAATCTGTCACACATTCTTAGCAGTTGCATCCACTTCTTATATAACCTAGGGGGTAAGTTATATAGTAATTTAAGTTTTTGTGTCGGTCGCACGCCAAGACCGTACCCCGCCATCCTACCTCGCGGTCGCAAGAATCGACTTTTTACCCTTTTTTAGATTATGATATAGAAACGACTCTAGGTTCTATAAAAAGTCGATGTAGCTATTAGGAGTATACTAAAGTTCAATAATATAGCAGGGCTGAAGCCCTAGAAGGGTGGTTGTTTCGTAATATAAGAGAGTTGTTTTCGTGAGTTCCTGATTTCGCACTTTTTTGATGTTCTCGGCTGCCCGCATTTTTAACACAAGTTATGAATATCGCTGTACAGTAGTTCTGGCGCACACACATATTTTGCATGGTGGACTCTGAATGCGCCAGATTACTGCATTCGGGGTGGTACTTGCGTTGCAATCAACGTGCGGCCCCAACGTTCCTTATACTCGTTACGAGTCAAGCTGACATTGTGAGTGTAGATCCTTGATTTGTAGGGGCGCATTCTGAGTCAAACAGGCCAATAAGCTTTAATTCGGCCCAGTTAGAGCATCTACTTATACTAGCGATATGCATACGGTACCTCGGGTACCCACCTCGAGTGAACGCTTTCTTTTGTTGATCGATACTCTGGCAGGGCCGCAGGGTTGGTTCCGAGATTGATTTAAAATTAGCATACAAGGTATCAAAATTACCAATCGTGCTTCCTAGAAATAACTATAAAGTTTTCTCGGGGCTTTTATAGAAATAATCCGCCGGCTTGAGTATCATCAATTGCATGGGGTTATGCCTTGACTGTCAGGGTCTCGATTGTTGATGATTTGCATCTGTTTGATGATGTCTTTGAAGTCGATGCGTGAAAAGCTAAGTACCAGAATACACTTTTTTAAATCAGTTGCCGGCAGTAACTTCCCGGCGCTCCTTACATACCATTGAGCTTCTCAGTGAAAGGGTACTATGAAGAAACACACGGCCAACTCTCTTTTTGCCTATCAGATGGAATAGCAAATGATATGCTTGGTTCTTTGAGTCTCAATTTGATCCAGTTATCCTCAGTCACTGCATCCACTTAGATCAGCTTTGAGTGCACGTTTTTTCTTTGGCCACTCTCTGCTCTGCTCTGGAAGGAATAGATCGTCATAAAAAATAACCAGCATAAAAAAGCGGAAGAAGGCGATCAACTAGCTATAGACCCAAAGATCCTGGTGAGCCAAAGTAGTATACTAGAGAAGCGGCTCTCTCTACTATGGTGACTTGCCCTGCCCTCGCCGTTACTCTTTCTTCTCTCTTCAGGACGGTCTCCTTCGACTGCTTTTTCTTTACTCGTTCTAGCAATATCTAAGATTATACTTATAGTGGTGGGACAACTATTTAGAAAACCCTTCTGGCCTTTGGGGCTTCAACTCATCACTTAAACGTAACTATTTCTGGCGACTTTATTCCTGTAATGGAGTGCCAGAATCAAATGAGAAAAGACGACTTTGAAGGTATCCATGAGAATGAAATTCAGGTTCGATTTCTGGAAATGATCCATGGGAACTCTACTTACACAGAAAAGACAAACAGAACACTATGGTTTCACCTGAACACCCTATTTCTCTTCACCAAATCAGACATCAAGACGACCCTACTTCCGCATACAGTATTCGCGATCTCTCTTGTCCTCCATGGCGCACATGCGGAAAGTATCTTGGTTGGAGACAACTTGAAATGGAGATTTCTTTTCATGATACTCTGGATATGGGTTCATTTGCTCATATTTGCTATCTCAAACCAGAGACTTCCCGCGTGTATAGTGGAAGACAGAGCCAACAAATCATGGAGACCTCTCCCATCGCATCGAATTTCAGCCTCTGAAGCACTGACGCTTCTTCGAACAATAGTCCCAATAGCAATGGGTCTTAGCATCCTTCTAGGCAGCTTTGAAGCCAGTGTAACGCTTATGACTTTCGTTTGGCTCTACAACGATCTTGAAGGCAGTGGAGCTGGGCCCTGCCAGCGGAATATTCTGAACGCAGCAGGATACTCATGTCTTGGCTGGGGGCAGTTTCGGTGTTGGTTGGTGGCAGTTTGAATCGATTGCTGTTAAGAAGGTTACTTCTTCTGGCTGCCGTGATTACCACTACGGTGCATGCGCAGGATTTTCCGGACGTTGAGGGCGACGCCAAATCTGGAAGAGAGACCATGCCATTGCGGTATGACCAGGTAGTTCCACGCTATGTACTTTCTATTCTGTCGATTTTCTGGTCCGCGATATGCCTGGCTTTCTGGAATATTGGTTCTCCCCTGGTATGGGCCGCTCCAATGCTCATTGGTGGTACTATGGCTGTGATGACAGCCTTTCGATGGAATCAATGGTACGATATATGGGTGTGGAGACTGTGGTGTCTTTGAATTTGTATTCTGTATATCCTACCGAGTTTTAGCTGTTAATAGCTTAGTAAAGATAAGAGGTGGTCAATTACATTTACAAGATACTGGTCTTAAGCGAGCCACCCAATTTCATTAGAAAAGGGGCTGGGAACACAACACCAACCACAGGCAAAACTCAACATAAGGAAATATCCCAAGCATGTAAATACGACACGTTCATCTATTCAAGTCTAAGAAATATATGTTATATTACATTAATAGATTTATAACTGTGCTTATATTCTTTTGCTTCTTCTTATTTCGTATAAACCATGAGGGTTTTTACTTAGAATCTTGTAGGGCTCCCAACCAGGTATCTGAGAAATTTAGTGTCTTCTACATTAAGGATATGGAACAGTAAGAAAACCTTTTGTGCTAAAAGAATTTCGGGACCCCGAAAACCCCAAGGTATCCTTGAGTACTACCAATAAAAGTCGAGTCCTAAAAGTAAGTATCGAGTTACTACTATCCTAGTGGTGCTAGTATCGAGTTTCACACCTTGCTCCCATGTTTCATGCTATACGCTGATCCTTCTACCAATGTACCTTAGCGATAACTATAACCGCTGCACTAAGTAATGCCTACCTACAGTGGCATCGCCGTCCGTGTCGAACTATTGCAGTGTGTTCACAGAGTCACATTTTTGTGTGCCTAACCGCACTATCCATCCATATGATTCGATGCATTTCGAAACAGCAGCCTTCGCGGGTTCGGGATATGCTCGTTAGTTCATCCCTACAGGCTTCACAAGGATACGTCTAACCAAGGCGCAGCAGTGTACTGTGATATCATATATGAATTTAGGAAAAGGAGTGCCATGAGTTAGGCTGGTTCGTTACGACTAGCTCGCCAAGTTTCTGAGTTTTGGTTATTTTAGATTAGTGTTGAAAACAAATCTGGCGACTCTGCGGAAGCAATCGAGAGCATGACTGAACTCGTCAAGGGCACCTCAGTAGCCGTTAGCAATACAATTTGTTTGAGAGTATTGCGTGATTCTGATGGAAATCTGCGATCAAGAGCATCGATATAAAGCCTTGAGTGTCCCTGCAAAGAATATTAAAACCCCTGCCATATTTTCACGAGAATCATATAATCTCGTCTGGTTTTCACAGAATGCTGGGTACGCTAGGCCAGATCGATGTCTTTTAGGAGTCTAAATGGAAAATAGTTGAGGCTATGTCATCCTAGATGTAGCGATATCCGTGCAAACGATAACGAGAGAAATTGGTTGGAACAACTCTTAGACGGAAGCATGTCGTCACCTCCACACCATGAACCATAGGTGATGATTAGCAAAATTGGGCCCATAACAGGAAATAAAATGTAATCATCAGGCTCGCAAGTATAATATAATATCGTCGCATCTCACTATGGGTGGGAGGACGAGCGCACGTGGGGTGGTGGGCCAAGACTCGTAGCCAAACCCATCTCGCTTAACGTAAACAACAACAATGTCCAAAAATTCCAAAAAGTCCCCCGAAAACCCAAAAAGAAAAAGAAAAAGGAATTCAACCTGACTGGCGCAAAAGAGTTCGAGCCCGCCCGCTCTAAGTCTCTATTTACCCTTGTTGATACCAATTCCAGTCGTGCTTTTCTTTCCACTAGGGTAGGGAGCGTTCCACATTACCAGGTGGCCGAACTGGTGGCACCCACGCCGGGGCCCATTGGTGAGAGCAGACCGTCTTATTTGTGTTGTTAAAGGAAATCTGTGGGTGTGTGGTGGATAGGTGGACCCACTCTGATGAAGGCATTCGCGATTCGCGACGCGTCTGTACTGGCTGCCAGTGGCGAGATACTGGCAGAGTTCACCCGGACGCCACACCAAAATTGTTAAATGAAATACAAACAATTTTGTTATGCTTGGGAATAATCATACTAGATTGAGCTCTTGTACAACCAACTTGAAGTGTATTCGGTGGTGCTCGTGAATATCAAGACCTTTTGGTTTCATAACATGATAAGGACTTTCCAAGCTCAAATCCAGTATCAGCATTCAAGACTGATGTATCTGAGGATTACATGTCTTTATTAGCTTATGATCCTAAACCACCTTTTCCATAGGTGAAGCATGAATGAAGTGAAAATTATACAATCCAATCAGCTCACGATCGCAAACCTCCAAATTCGTACAAGTGAAGCAAGATTAGACCATGGGGAATCTCCTCAACCAATCAGCTTCCGATTGCAAACAGCAAATTCTCTCAGGTCAAAATTGCGATGTGCAACAAAACCTATTTCAGGGTGGTTTGCGATCGACGGTGATTGGATGGAAATATGCTTCACTTGTAATGATTGACGCGTTCTAGTGAGGGTGTTATGATGTGACGATGGTAGGAGAAATGAATTTCAAGGGAGCATGGGGGCTGGATGGTAAGCGAGTGTTTTCCTGGAGGTCTTCATCCGAGTTATGACATCCTACCTAGATTTCACTTGCTCCTATGCGTTCTGGAATACAAATCCACACTCCTCCTCTGAACAACCCCGAAATTGCCTTCTTGCCACCAGGGTAAGCCGTGAGAGGCCGTTTCTGAAGTTCCCATTTCTTGTGAAGATCATCATACAGATAATTGGTGCTTTGGTACCGGCTTCTTTATCACCCGGAATCATTATATAACTGAATATGAACCCATTTCAACGTATGAAAGGGATGAACTGCTGCACTGCTGTTCTTCGTGATGTCAAATAATAATATCAAAGCAATGGAGCTATCAGGGTCAACTCGCTTATGCCATTGTCGCCTCATCATGCTTCTGGAATTGCGTTTGTAGAAAAGGATGATTTACCTTAGACACTGTAGTGTATACATGAGAAGATCAAGCTTGGTGAGTGAAATACTTCTGTGGTCTCATTACATTAATGTGATATTCACGCAAGATGTCTTCGACGATCTTGTATGTGCAGATTGGAGATGGCTGGTCTTCATATCCCCTAACACTGCTTACTTTCTTGGAGAATTCAGTAACCACAGTATACGGTTGGGCTAGTGCTTCTTAGTCGTGGAGTTTTGCGCCGATTGTTAGGTAGAGCTTTTGGTGATTTCAATATGTTACACTTTTCAGTGCTGTTTCTCAATCCTTATTTCAACGGCACTTTAATGGCTTGTTTTTGGGAGAAGCCTAGATCAAACTTCGAAGGGCTGTACTCAATTCCAGTGAGTTATACAGTCAATCTGTAGAGAAGACAGACGAATTCAGGGAGTTTAAAGATAATGGGAGTTTTGCACTTTTTGTTATTCTCGTAGAATTATCTGCGAACATCAACGCGCGTCTCGGTCAAATCGGCTTATATATATACAAACTATTAGGACGACAGAATATTCCGGACGGCATTTTCAAGTACCGCGTGGAATCACGGATGACTCAATGGATATGGAAAATAACCTGGATATTGTATGTATTCACATTTTGTCAAATATAGCAGAAATGGAATCCAGCATAGCAAGATTCGGAGAAGCTTTGGGGGATTCTTTCATTTTCATCAGTGGATTGCTCCATTTCTTCAATAAGAATTTGAGGCACGAGAATCAAAATTTTATTAAGCACTCGAGAGAAAGAAGCTCTGCACTTGGTATTTTTTGCTGTCTTAAACCCCAGTGTCGAGGAGGAAGGTGAAGTTTCATACCGCTGAATTCGCTTGGGCCTTCGGCTTGTGAGTCAATCCACTTGTGACTCGACCCCACCAAAATAAATTCCCAAAAAGACCCCTCCATCCTCAACCACAACAATCTACATTCAACACAGCCAAACACCAGCGCAATCATGGCGGACGCAGCAGCACCAAGCGCACCCGCTCCTTCCAAGGAGACAGCCGTGAACCTCCAACTTGATGAGGTCACTGGCGAAATGATCTCCAAGTCCGAATTGAAGAAGCGCCAAAAGAACCGCCAAAGGGAGGAGGAGAAGCGCAAGAAGGAAGCCGCCGCTCCTCCCAAGCCTGTCATGGTCAAGAAGTCGAATGCCGAGGCGGACGAGAAGGAGTTGAACCCAAATGTAAGAATGCGCCTTCCATTGGAGCTTATCGTGACGGATTGATACTGATTGCGGGGTATAGCAATATTTCGAGATCCGTTCGCGCACCATCAACAAACTCCGCCAAACCAAGAACCCAAATCCATATCCACACAAGTTCCATGTAAACTACGATTTGCGCAAGTTTGTTAAGGAATACGAGTCTTTGAAGTCAGGAGAACACAAGAAGGAGGTCGAAATCCGACTTGGAGCCAGAATCTTCAACAAGCGTGCGTCCGGTAACAAACTTGTATTCTACGATGTTCGCACAGAGGGTGTCAAGGTACAAGTTATGTGCCAGTCACAGGAGGCCAAGGAGGGCGGTGTTCCATTTGCTGATCAACACGAGCATTTGCGACGAGGTGATATTATCGGTATAGTGGGGTACCCAGGACGAACTGCACCAAAGAACAAAATCGAGAAGGGAGAGGAGGGAGAACTTTCTATCTTTGCTACCGAGATCATTCTCCTGACTCCATGTTTGCACCAACTTCCCGACGAGTACTACGGATTCAAGGACCAGGAGCAGAGACACCGTAAGAGATATCTGGATTTGATCATGAACGATCCTACACGAAATGTCTTCTTGGCCAGATCTAAGATGATTACCTACATTCGAAAATTCTTTGACGATCAGGACTTTGTCGAGGTTGAGACACCAATGATGAACCCAATTGCTGGAGGAGCTACTGCAAAGCCATTCATTACCCACCACAACGATCTCAACATGGACATGTTCATGCGTGTAGCGCCTGAATTGTACTTGAAGATGCTTGTCGTTGGTGGCTTAAACAGAGTATACGAGATGGGACGTCAATTCCGAAACGAAGGTATTGATCTCACTCACAACCCCGAATTCACAACCTGTGAGTTTTACATGGCATACGCCGACGTTTACGATATCATGGACATGACCGAAGCGCTCGTTTCTGGCCTGGTTAAGCACATCACTGGCGGTACCACAACCAAATTCCATACTCAACACGGAGAGGAGTACGAAGTCAACTGGGCCGCCCCTTGGAAGAGAATTGAGATGATTCCCGCTCTCGAGGAGGCAACTGGCGAGAAATTCCCACCCGGAGACCAACTTCACACCATGGAGACCAACGAGTTTTTCAAGCGCGTTCTTAAGAAGATGAAGCTTGAATGCTCACCACCACTCACAAACGCACGTATGTTGGACAAATTGGTCGGCGAATACCTCGAGGAGACCTGCATAAACCCCACCTTCATCACCGGTCACCCTCAAATGATGTCCCCCCTTGCCAAATACCACCGCAGCAACCCAGGTCTCTGTGAGCGTTTCGAGGCTTTCGTCTGCAAGAAGGAGATCGTCAACGCATACACCGAGTTGAACGACCCCTTTGACCAACGTCTCCGTTTCGAGGAGCAAGCCAACCAAAAGGAGCAAGGTGATGACGAGGCACAGATGATTGACGAGAATTTCTGCCAGAGTTTGGAGTTTGGTTTACCACCCACCGGAGGATGGGGTATGGGAATTGATCGATTGGTTATGTTCTTGACCGACAACTACAGCATCAAGGAGGTGTTGGCCTTCCCATTCATGAAGGAGGATACCCACAAGAAGCCTGTTCTGGCTGCTGAGGAAGTTGGAATTCAGCCACAAGCTGAAGAAGGGATCCGTAAGTACTTCTTTTCCTGGAGGCATTGGTTAAGTCAGTGGAGATCCTGGCTAACGAGTTGGTTCTAGCTCACAAATAAGTCAAGATATTGTTTGCGCTACTGTAGATGATTTCAATTCTTTAAAAAATGAATGAACAAAGTAAAAATGAAACTTTCAGATAGTGTACAGAGTAGAGAATCGTCCTTATCATGACTGTGCCTGCTCTAATTGTATGGGGGAATCTAATAAAACGTCACCCATGGTTACATCGCTAATCAAACACAATATATACAAAACACTCATCGTTACCGTTCATGCTCTTCGCTTCATGCCTTTCGCGAAGGTCCTCGTTTGCTCATAGAATTGAGCTGTGGCCTCAAAGCCACAGGCTTGGTACGTTTGGCACCGTGTTCTATAGCGCGGCAAGTGTGAGTATTCAAAGCAGTAGTTTTGAGGTTGTTCTGAATTAATCGCCACGTTCGGGTAGGTATCCATGTTCTGCTACCCAGAACCAAAGCACCAGTCAAAAGGGCTAGACTGCCTGCTTGATGGGTGGCTGCTAGATGTGTAGGAACGAGGTAGATCAACGTGCTGATTCCAAGTGCTGCTTGCAGAAACACTAGGTGCACAACACCCAACATTCCTTTTCGGCAATTGATGGGTAGAGCCGCCCTGACTCGTGGGTTGAATCGTGAGTATGCCCATAGTGATAGGATGGCTGTGAAAGTTGTCGTAGCTAAGATTCTGTGATCAAGCTGTACGAGAGACGGGTTCTCTAACATGTTTCGCCACCATATATCACTGCCATCTTCCTTTCTTGAGTAGAACTTGTCAAAAAGTTCTGCTTTTGGTGGGGTGAGACCTACGCCCATGCGTGGAAATTCGTTGTATATCATTCCGGCATCAAGACCAGCTACCAACCCACCCGACATGGCAGTAACGAAGATGAGAAGTGCAAGGCCCGCGACGGATTTCCGGAATATAGACAGTGTACCTGATGAGAGGTTTAGTAACTGAGCGTGAGCTCGTTCTGCATTTGTGAGAAGAGATCTGGTTCGTAGGATTGCCAGGCCGTTCCAAAGCATTGCAGTATAGCATATGAAGGCAGTTCCAAGATGTGCGGTAAGTCTATATTGACTCACTCTTGGGTGTGAGCCGGGCGCAAACAGGTCGTCCTTTAAGCCGGATTTTACCATCCACCACCCTAATGCACCTTGGACACCAATCAAACCCGAGATACCGAGGAGACGAATAGACATGTTGGCAGAAACCTTTCGTCTTGCAACAAAGTAAATTGCTGGTATAACGAACGAGAGCCCTACAAATCGCCCCCAGAGTCGATGGCCCCATTCCATGAAGTATATCTTTTTGAACTCTTCGAGAGTCATGTGTGGATTAAGGAGTTTGAATTCGGGGGAAGCGCGGTATTTCTCAAACTCGGAATCCCAGTCTGCTGGAGAGAGGGGCGGTAGAGAACCTGTTACTGGTTTCCATTCTGTGATACTGAGACTATTGTAGTTGTTAGCAACGACATAACTTTTTCCCAGCATTGAACATACCCCGACTCTGTTAATCGAGTAAGTCCTCCAAAAACCACAATTCCAAAAACACTAGCTGCGCTCGCCAACAGCCAGTATGCCACAGGCTTTGCGGTGACAGCTGGGAAGAATTGCTTTTTGGCTTGTGATTTTGAGTCACTCAAAATGGACTGGCTCAGAGCTTTCAGAGGCGATATTCTTCGAGAAGCACCCTCTTTCCACTCGGGAAAAGCGGCAGAGCTGCTGTTGAATCGAATTGTTCTCGAGATCTTCGATGTAATGGGCAGCCTCAATCGCCCCAATGGACTCGCTTGCTTGGTGCATTGGTGACTTATGAAGAAATAGCGAGACAGCCTGGGCGCTGCCCTCCGAAGACGGGGGAGAAGTAAAGACATTGCATAAGGAGTTTGCCCTCATGCAATGGGTGATGGACAAAGAGTCGAGTAGATCAAGAGTCGACAGTCGAGGTGGGATGATTTTGATAATCTGACTTCCCGCCCGACAATCACCCTTCGGCTCGTCATCGGCATCGGAGCCCGCAATTGGCCGATCGTAGGTATTGAGCCAATGAAAGACAGCCTACCCCAACGAATACTTAGCCAAACTGCCCAAGCTTCGTAAAAAATGAAGGCTGAAGCGGCACAGTACGTAGTAACAGTGCCGCAAGGCTCAGCATCTCAGGGGTCCAATCGGTGCTGGTGCACTTCCAATTCCTGCGCCGAACCCCAACCACACGATTTATATCTAAGTACTCCGTCCTCGTATGACACAGGACAGAATTCCACTCTCAGAATCCTATGACCTACCTATGACTTAGCAAAGTCCATCACATCCTCAAAACTCCCAGATAGTCGTACGTGGAGCCGCAGATTTCAAGCTGCAAGCTCAATGCGCCAGAACCCAAGTCTACTCGTACGGCCATAATTACGACAACTCCAATGCCCATGCCCCATGTTTTCACCACGAAATACGGAAGCCCCTAATCCCTTCCGCCCCGCTGTACAATACCTGCTTTCTGCCGCCAAAAAAGCACACGGACAAGGCACAACACCAGACGGCCATCGGAAAAGCAGTTCGTCGGGAAGCATTGATGCAGACGAGCGCCCACGATCCAGAATGTCCTCCTACCAACCCAAATCCTCCTCAGAGTTGCGGTCCACATCGATACCCTTGATCAGTATTTCTCGGTCGCCCTCCCCATATCAAAGAAGACAATCGGATTCAAATCCAACGTCAGAAACTGATGATGACGACTGGGGAGAGGGCGCGACCTCGAGGCAATTACTGCCTGCGGATGGGTACAAGTTGACGGGCTGGAAAGTCCTGATATACGGAGGAGGCTTAGGACAGTGGCTTTTCACGACGTCTCTCGGATGGGCGTTCTATATTGGCGTACTGGTCATCTGGCTGGGAGGATGTCAAATCGGCCTGATCGTCATGAACCGAATCATCCTGTGGAGTGGGTACCTCCAGGAAAACTATACGTCCCACACGAAGCTGATGGTTTTAATAGCGGGAGTCTACAAATTTCCTTATCCTCTCACGACGACTCTATTTGAGATGCTCAATACACACTTCTGGATCATCCTATCGGCATACATTACACGATGGGTGAGTCCATGGCTGGTGAGCGCTGGGGTGTCGTCAATGATTGCACCCTCGAAGCAACTCCAATCGCAATCTTCCCAGGGCTTTCGTGGTCTGCAGAAAAATGGCGATGGTCTTGTGGCCTCTGTTGTACGCTGGACATCAAGCTTCTCTGGCGGTATTTCTGGCGGGGGGCTGTTTGAGTTTGAATGGGCCGTAGCGAAGCAAGTTCTGCCATTGGCCATTATCTTTGTCATAAAGGTCGCTCTGAGTAACCTATCATTCGCCTACGCGCAACTCCAGATTTATACTCTGGCACGTATTGGCATAGTACCATTTTCTCTCATTTTCACGTCGGTCCTTAATGGAACCTCTCACAGTGTAACAACACTCTCTTCCTCCCTTACGGCCACACTTACCCTTCTTGTTGCCCTCTGTCGTGCCAATGTGCGGGTCACTTGGGAGAGTATTGTGGCAGGTGTCTTTTCCTCCATGTTCGTCGCACTATATCCGGTGCAAATTCTACGAACATACAAGTCTCTCGTAGCTTCCCTGGTTCCTCAAGGAGAGCTTATTGGTACATTTCCATCTTCAAACGCCCCTGCCGATTACTCGGGATCTCGTGAGGAAGCACGAGCTTATTGGAGATTACTGCATTACACGTCAGGACTTTCTATTGTCATCTTTGTCCCAATCGTCTTTCTCTCGGGTGAAGTCACGAACATTTCGCGGAATTGTTACTTTCTGGATGTCTTTTTCCATTGGTTGATGGTTCTATGCGGTGGACTAGGTAGTTGGGCCGTGTTTTTCAGCACAATTGCTTTGACCAGAGCTACGAGTCCACTTACGACAACATTTCTCTTCATACCAAGAGCAGCTTTCTTGCTACCAATCATGGCAGGGTTCAAGATGCCAAACTTTGCGTGGATTGGGGTTGGTATGTGTTGGGCGAGTTGTGCCTGGTTTTTGAGGGGCCGCAGAAGAGAAGGAAGACCAATGGAGAGGTTAAGATAAGGTCTGGAATTTTGATGTTTGTTGCATAGAAGCGAAGGCGTATTTGTTGAATTTTTGGCTATATAACGACGGCCAATACTTTTCTGTATAAATCTATGAGAGTACAAGAATTCATGAAATCTGGCTTGCTGACTAGATGTTCATTGGTAAAGCTGATCTGTCTCCCTTTCAGTGAAGTTTTTCCTTCCTGATTTGCTTGCTTGTCATTGTTGCGCGTGTAAATGCCGTGTCAGTTATGACCATCGAAGGAAAAAGTTCTCTTTGGCATAAAAGCATAGTTCATATTAGCTAAATTCTACTTTTCAGCCTCAAATTTGGTGGTCAGAGTTCCGATATGAGGTAAGATTTCCACAGCAAACTCATCGCCCTCTCTGAGATACTCTTTTGGATCAAATGAAAACCCAACACCGGCCGGGGTTCCCGTCAAGATGATAGTTCCAGCTGGAAGAGTAGTACCTTGTGACAAGAAAGAAACAATTTTCGGAACTGGGAAAATCAAGTCACTATCGCACGATTAGTTTCGATACAACCATATCCACTCGAGAAGTGAAAAACATACTCAATCCCACAATCCTGCAACACCTTCCCATTCTTCAACCCCCTAATCCTAAACTTCCCTGCATTCCCAATCAACTTCTGACTCACAACCACCGGTCCAATCGGGCAGGCGCCATCGAATCCTTTGCTGTAACTCCATTGCGATTGCGCGAATTGGCTTGTGCGACTGCTTACGTCGTTGCTGGCTGTGTATCCTAGGACGTAGTCGAGGGCTTCTGCTTCCGTGACGTCTTTGCATTTCTTGCCGATGATTATTACGAGCTCCGACTCGAAGTCGCAGCAGTCGTCGGCGAGGGTCGATTTGGGGATTATGGTTGGTGCGGGGTAGGGGTCTGCGAGGGAGGTGGGGGGTTTCATGAAGACGGTTGGGACGGTGGGGATGGCCATTTTGGCTTCTTTTGCGTGTTGGACATACTGTATTTTTTTAGATTTTTGTTAAATTTTTGTTGGAGTGTAGGTATGAAGGGGAGTAAATACGTTAAGACCGATGCAGCGGATTGTTCCAACTTCGGATGCGGCGAGGGGAGAGAGCACTTTTGAGATGATCTCGGTTTTCCCTGTTGGGGAGCCGGGTGAGAGGATGGAGGAGCCGCTGTAGACTTTGACTTCTACATCTTTTGATGCTCGGGTCTCGGCTCCTACGTCTACATCTGGACTTGCTGGTTCGCCGATGAGGACGTCGCTGGAGGATTTGGGAATGAATCGAACGAGACCTGGGAATTGTGAGTGGAAGACTTGCTCATGTGGGACGGTTGGTGCTCACGGTTGAAAGATGGGATGGACATTTTGAAGTTTCTCAACATGGAATTTTTCTCGACAAATTCAGTATATTCAATCAAGAAGTATCCAAAAACTGCAGAGTAGGAAAGATGATGGAGGGATACAGTTCCCCCGCAATCGGCTTCCGGAATCGACTTTATGCGCTTGATGGATATTCCTGAAAGTCCAACGATCCACCAACTTATAACTGGAAGTGGTACTTGGCAACGGCAAGTCAAAATAAGCCCCACCAAACACCCGGAAACCAAAGAGATGGCCGCAAGGAGCAAGTTGAGAAGTGGACGTCGGTGGAGTGAAGTTTCTACACGTGACAGTCGCCCCACATCACGGGGTAATTCTCTCACCTGCATCCCGAGATTCACTTTCGGGTGAGGGTAGAGCCACGCAATGGCTGAGAGATCCATGTTCCATGTATCTGAGATCTAGGTATATCAAGAATACTTAACAAAGGCTTGATTTCAGAACTTTTCTTGGATCTCACAAAACTTCTTAACAGAAATTTTCAAGATGGCAATAGCACCTGTTGATTCTGGATATCTCCAGGCTTCGGACCCCACTAAGCCACGTTCGGACGCAGCAGTCCCATTTCGTGATATCATACCTGCTCCTACTCATCCCCGCATCGCAGGAATTGAGAATCATGATGCGTTGAGTTGGTGTGAGTCGAGGAGACAGATTGAAGCTCCTGCTTGGTTGATCAATCGACTTGACGAGAAGAACTTGGAGAAACCGTACAAGGGATTTACATCCGATGGAAATGTGAGAGAAGGGCTGTATAAATATGCCGAGGACGAAGGTGCTCCTACTGAGCTAGTTGCTGAGAAGGTGAAGAGTCTTTTGAAGGTGTTGAGTGAAGAGCAGAGAAAAGAGGTGTGTTGTGGGGAAGTTACGGATGATAAATTCAGATTATGGTCGAATCCGGAATTATATATGAATCCAGGTATTATCACATCACCCCTAAAATATGAGACACTAACAAAAATTCAGGCGGTCTTCGACTCGATGAACACACACCAGAAATCCAATCCGCAATCCACGCCATCCTCAAATCCTCCTTTTCCAAAGAAGGCTACGAAAAAGTCCTCGGTTGCTGTCTCACCAACGACTTCCTAGGGCAACTAGTAAACGGGAAAAAAGTACTAAACGAACACTCCTACAACTTCCGTCTCTTCGGAACGCCTTCTCTCACCTCGCCGTGGGGATATACATTCTTTGGCCACCATCTGTGTCTTTCAGTCGCATTCCTAGGGAAACGTATGGTCATAGGCCCAACGTTCATGGGCGCAGAACCGGATAGAATCGATGAAGGACCTCATGCGGGATTACGCCTATTCCGAAGCGAGGAGATGGAGAGTTTGAAATTAATGCAAGGCCTTCCTAAAGAATTGCAGGACAAGGCTACTTTGAGTAAGGGAATGGATGGCAAGAGTTTAGCTGAGGATCGATGGAATCCTTTTGATGAGAGACACTTGGGGGGTGCGAGACAGGATAATAGGGTTGTCCCATATGGTAGAAATCCCCTTTTTCCCTTTAAATCATATGATGTACTGACAATAGAACAGAAGGCTGTCCCGTATCCCTCTTCCCACCAGAAAGCCAAGAGGCAATCATCAACCTCTTCCTAGCATTCAACGAATACTACCCCGCCCCGGTACTCAAACATCGCGTGGAGCTATTCAAAGCCCATCTTAATGAGACGTACTTCTGCTGGATCGGAGAGTTCGGAGCCGAAGATCCTTATTATTACCGAATTCATAGTCCCGTTGCGTTTATGGAATTGGATTTTCACTGTGGGAGTAAGTTTTTTCTGAGAACAGTTTGTTGGATGCTTGCTTTGTGATGGTAATGCTGATTTGACTTTTTTAAATAGTTTTCTTGACGAATACGAGTCCCGCGAGATGTCATATCCATACTATCAATAGACTTCCTAATAGAGGCGATTATGGACGGGCTTTGATTGAGCAGTAGACTCTCTCTCTCTTTCAACAATCGAGTTTACATATACATCCTTAGATATCTAAGATAGTTGGAACGGCTTATGTAGAGAAAGAAAATGCATCTTGTATTTGACTTATTCATGTATCTCTTTTCATTCATCCCCTCTGGGACCGGAGCCTATTGAACGCTCGTTACAGGAACCAGTTAACCAGGCTAAGGCTAATTTGAACGACTCCGGTTATGTTGTGATCAGCGACTATGTATTGGCGGTTTCAATTATTCGCGAATTTAATTCTTCTTTCTAATTCTCTAGCTTTAATTTGGGCAGACGCCTCTCTTTCTTCCTTTTCCTACCAGCTACCCCTCTTCGCTGCAAAAGATGCGGTACCCGTTTCGAGAACACATTTACCCACTTCTCGCATGTCTTAGTATGATTAATCAAGCGACGACGCGTCTTACGCGCTACACCTACTCTATTCTATTCACTCCCGTACCTTCATCCGCTCCAATCTTAACCTTACTCCCTCCCCATCCATCTATCTCCCCTTCCCACCAAGAAACTAGAAAAACCATCCAAAAAAATTCAAAAAAACAAGCTTAGGGCTCGGACCAAGTCTGCATCCCTACATCTCTATGACTAAGTCGAGTTCAGGAAGTTGGTTTATCTCGCAATATCAGTGGCCCCTCCACTTGACCATTTCTACTGATTTTCTGGGAGGAAGTGGTGTTATTTGTCTATATGAAAGTTTGGGGGAGCTTTTTGTCCTGAGATATTTGCCCGCTATTCGTGGATTCGGTACGATGGCTTTCGTCGCTATGGGGGGTCCTAGTAGGAGCAGAAAGGTTTATACCTTAAATACTCCCGGTCTATACCTTATATATAACCGATAATTTTATAGAACATCAAAAATTAAAAAAATTAATATTTCTAAAACTCCCTATAATGAAGTAGAATACCTGAATAAACACCCTCCTAAGCCTATAAACCTAAAAAAAACCTCATTTTATTAAGAATCTCTTTATCTGGTAAGAGCAGGTGTGTATAAGGTATAGACTCTCGGAGTCTATACCTTATAAACAACCGATTATTTAGGGAGAAGTTTTTAATTTAAAAAAAAGATTTTATAAAAGGTTCTATTAGTCTCTAATAGTCTTTTATTTACCCCTATAGTATTCTCTAAAAGGCTTTTATTATTAAGTGTAAGATAAGTTCTTTCGATTTCGCTTAGGGCCTGTTTGGCTCGCCTAATTTAGAGATTTGCACCATATAAAAAGATATGCATGCAAATCTAATTTGCACATAATATAGGATATGCGCGCTTGTTTGGATAGCCGTAAAAGTTTCTTTTGTACTAACTATAAATTCGTCACAAATCTAATTGCAAATCCTTTTAGATTTGCACCACCTAAAAATCTTTATAAAAGAATTAAACCCTCAACCCTTTAGTTTCAAGATTTGTACAAATCTCCGTGCAAATCTTTTCCGTCCTACGCACATAAATCGACAGATATGTGACGAAACAAAAGAATCTTTTGTACTAGCCAAATAGTGGTGTATTTGTTTCGTCATAATAGTCTAATTTGCATGCAAATCAGGAAACTTTTGCATGAGTCCTTGGGGGTCCTCCAACCCGTGCAAATCTAAGACTTTTACACCTGGTATAAATCTCTAATTGGGCGAGCCAAACAGGCCCTAAGTACTTTTTCGATTTCGCGAAGTACTTTTACCGGTCCGGTAGCTAGGAATAGTCTTTTATTATAGTTTTAGGTATATAGATCCTACCACGTACGTACTCCCGAGTACTGTCTATATTACTACCCTTCCCCCGCCCTCTCTTTACCTACCTGTCGTACCTACTGTCCCTACCTATAAGTATACTTAGTCGTTTTTTTTACTCCCTCCTGTCCCTACCTGTAAGTGTACTTAGTCGTTTCTACTGTCCCTCTACCTGTGACCCCCCCTTTTGTCTACCCCCTTCCCTCGCCTAACTGCCCCTTCTATTCTCTATGTCCCTCGTATATACGTGATTTTAGTAAGTGATTCGAGCCGTAAAAGTATAGAAATAAGTGTAGAAATAAGTGTAGAACTACGTAGAAAAATATTGTAATTTATATACAACCGCGGAAATTTTAGTAACTATTTATATATAACCGAGCGCATACAAAAAGGTTAATACCTTATATACACCCGCTCCCACTGGGGGTCTGATTAGACTACTCGTACTTCAACTTTTATCTATTTGAGGTTGGTTGTCTTACGATCTTCATTTGATATGGATGAGAAATAGAGCTTTCATTTCAAATTTTTTGGGCGTTTTTTGAAGGTAGATAGGTAGGTGATGATTTGTGTCTCCTCTCGTAGTCTTGTATAGAACCTTGGATATAACATTAAAGGACGCCTGGACAAGCGGAAGCCTCTAGAAGACTAGCGCCACGCAGCAGAGATAGGGTGTTAGGTTGTCTCACTGTCTTAGACTGTCTGTGACAGTTACACCAAACGGAGGAATTAGTAGAGAAATATACATAAACTAAGAGAGACGATCTGGTTTCACGTTTACAGGAAAAGCAATTAATTCACATCATCATCCTTCTGCGCCCCATCAGAATCCCGATAATAAGCATCAAAATCAGAAAAACTGCTCAAGAGAAGATTCCTCAACCTCCAGATACGACATCACAAAAGCCAACTGTCTATCTGTGACGGAAGGAACGACGATCTCCTCGTCTGGGACTTCTCGGTGTGTAACGGCTTGGATTTGTGATTCTATCATTATTTTCAAGGCCGGATAGCTAGATGGATTGTTAGTTAGTTGAGATTTTGAATTGAAGATAGATTCGGGGGTAAGTGTTATGTGGTTGCTGGGCTTTTGTGGGGGGTGGAGAGGGAGGAAGAAGGCGAGGATGGGGGGTATTTGTGTAGAAGGATTGTGATTGTTGTTTTTGGCTTGGGGGGGTTGAGAAGATAAAGGATTAGGGTATAGAATGGAGGGTTATTGTTAATCGTGGCTCCTTTGTTTTCTTTTTTCTTTGTAGGAGGAGGAAAGTGGGATTGTTCCTTTCCCCTTATTGTACCCTCGCTTAGATCTTGGAGTGAGATTGTGGTGACGGAAATTATCCTTTTCTTCTGGGAACCTGTTTCCCAGAGTTTGTAGAATAGCTTTTACGAGTATGTAGCGTCTTGAGATAGAAAATAAAGAAGTATGTAGAAAGCATTATTCCATGTCTACAGAACAACCAGGGATCTTCGTGAGACCAGAAAACAAATGATGGATTTCGGGCTTGATATATATATTCAACTGATGGCAAAGATAGTAGTCGCAAACCCATTCCACGCGATCCTCGAAGACATTACCTCCGAATTATCATAGAACTCATTCCCCGTAACAAAAAACGGCCCCACATATTCACAATGTCGAACAGGAAGCTCATGTAGCTTCGCAAGGGAGTCTTTCCTCTCGCTCTCCTCGCCTTTAAACTCACGACGTGGGCCGCCAAAAGAAATCTTCTCTCGGACAGCATCGCACGTCTTCTGATCAAGATCATCCTCTCGATACCGGAACAAGAACGGGGACCAAAACGTTGCCCCAGATCTCATCGGTCCGATTTCCGTGTTCAATATCCCGACTACAAAGTCCCCAAGTTTAGAAGAGCTCGAGACGAGGGCGAGTTCTCCACTGCTCATTCGAGCTAGTGCTCTATTCTCGAAGAATGATATCTGGGCGAAATTCTCGCTGGCGCAGAGGATGAGCCAAGCATCAATGGTGTGTTTTGGATTCGGTGTTTGGTATTGCTTATACATTATGCATTCGAACACATACTTTATCCTGTGTTCTTCCTCTGGGTCTCTTGGTGGGAGTATGTTGTCGTCCTGGATCAGTTCTCGCCATGCGCTATAAATATCACGATACAGCTTTGTGAAATCCATGCCTCTTCTCTGCCAATGGAGGTCTGTTGTGTTTATTTCGACAAACATGGGACGGGCGGTGATATCTTCTGAGAGGGCTTCAAGTCTGGAAGCGAACCGGGTAATCTTCAAGACTGTGGGATGGTGTAGACTGATGGTTGCACTTCTAGCCACAATATACTCCTTTCCATGACCAATATGAGCTAGAAGTGGAGGGTTGCTGATTCGGACAAGAGAAATGTCACCTGAATACGAAGCTCCTTGAGCAGTCACTTGATGACCTGCATCTGGAGGATTCAGCATTGGTCTGTATATCGCAGTAGAAGCTGGTTCTCTCAAGTCCGGTGCCCAGGAAGCAAGTCCCGAAAGACGTTTACCAGATTCGTTAACATGGCGCAATAGATGGTAGTTTCCATTCAACTCAATCTGACGACCAGCAAACGAATTGTAAGCCTCAGCGAGAGATTTATTCTTATAGTCTGCTTGAAAAGCACCATCGTTCCCATCAGAAGCAAAGCCGACGTGTGCCCATACCAAATCTCGTGGATCGGTTGCTCCAAGTCCACGTCTCGCAGTGACCAGCTCGAGCAAGGTAGACTTACTACCTGACTTTGCATGATGTCTCTTCCGAGCCTGCTGCATTTCTGAAATAAGATTGTATCCTTGGGTGATCTTGCCAGCAAGATTGTTGTGGATTTGAACTGATTTACCGGGCTCTTTTGCATGGCTATCTTCAAGTTTGGGATACTTTACCAGCTCAGCGAAGATTAAACCTCGATGATCCATTATCTCACCCACGAAAAGATCCCACCTCTCTCGTTGTTTCCCGATTTGCACCCATGGATCGCGAGAAAAGACCAGCTCTTGAAAGACCCAGATACGTCTAAACCAGGGCTTACCCAGAATATCGCCAGCCCTCAAGATGGGATAAAATTTATCTTTGATGTCGATGCTTGGATCAGGTGTTCCCAGGTAAATAACTGTATGGTCGGCAATTTCGTAGATTCGTCCCATCATAGCAACCTGCTGCGCTTTCTCTTCCTCGCCACCAGCACCTTGGTTGATACACAGGGAGTCCGCCCAAAGCCGGAAGGGCTTCTTAGAATCTCTCAAATTCACAAGAGCAGCATGGAAATTCGTAGTGATATTATACGGTTTGTTGTCCAAGAATATCGTTCGAAAAGTGGTCTCTTCATTTTCATCAATCCCCGATCCCCAAACGTAAGATAATGCGGTATAATGGTCGATAATATCGTTGTCGCATTCCGAGAGAGTGGTGTGGATTAAACTGCAATGTATTGCTTCCTTATCCGATGGGGCTGGATGGAGAATGGCTAAACGAATGCCATATTTTTTGGTAATAGGCTGAAATGAGAATACTTCGCCGCTATACTGGATTGTTGGCATGATTGCCGAAACCCTGATTTATATATAAGATTTGTTCGAAGGTTGCATGGTTAAGCGATTGCATCATCATGAACCACCGAGGGCTCATCAGTGAGTAGCTAGTGGGCCGAAAATGCGTTGGTATATAATGATGCCTCCTAGTGATCCTCCGGTATCTTAGGATATGAATGTAATATCGCAATCAGTCTGGAAATCATTGTCGCTTGGATTCACTTGAGCTGGACTCTCCTTGAGGAACCGCTGTCGGGGACGGATATTCATTTATCCTAGTTCCGACGATAACCCTCTTCCCCACTAACCTAAAGAGTCTAGCTAATCGAACTAATATCTATAAGTACCTATCTACTCGTACAAAACGTCCTTCCCTCAGCCCCATTTTTGGATAGTAGTGGTAGCAAATTATCTATTCCGTTTCTATTCCACAACAAGAAAAGTACCGCACAATGGACGAGTTCGCGCAATCTAGAGAGGATGACGATCTTTTCGCGGATGAATTTGAGCCCCTCCCTGAGCCAACTGCGACAATTGATGAAATAAAGCCAGATGTACATACTCCTCCGCAGAATATAACAGCGCCAATACCCGCGACGATCAATGATCAAACTCCACCTACCGGACCGGCAAAAGGAGGGCATAGAAATAACAGGCGCGATCAAGGCACACAGGATGTGCGAAGACAGCGAGGTGGACGAGGAGGCCAGGGACATAGCGGATTAGGTCAGTCTCGATATGCGCCTCAGAGTCAAGCTCCTCCAGTTCAACAAGAGAGCAATGCGAATTCGAACTCCGCAGCTACCTCTGGACAAGCCTCACAGCCTTCTGCAGAATGGGATGTTTCACCACCACAACCTTCACAAGCACCAGCAAATACCTCGGATTGGGCGACTACCTCTGGTCAACCGTCGCAAGCTGCTTCAAGCACTGCAGAATGGGCAGCAACATCTGGCCAGGCCACTCAGCCTCCCCCTCAGCCTGAAATCGCCGCCTCGCCAGTGACTCCCTCCCAGCCATCTAACCATATACCAACAGCTCCTCAACAACCCCTTCAGACACGCACACCAGCCGTTCGCGGCGACCGCTCCGCAACAGGCGGACCCCTCCACAAGAAACTCACTGAGGAAGAGCTAACAGCCAAGCTCGAGAAAATGGCCATCATCAATGCACAAAAAGCCGAGCGACATCGTCTCCAGGAAGCCGACCAAGCAGCGTACGATCGCAAAGAAAAGGAATTAGCGAAAGAACGACAAGAAAAAAGTCGGATGGAGCAGAAGAATAGTAGACAGATGGAGATGGAACGCGCGAAGAATAGACAGCGGAAAATCAATGCGCAGGGAGGAAGAGAATGGGATAGTGAGAAAGTAGAAGAGGATATCGTAGATAGGAAGGGCAGAAGTAGCGTATTTGTGAGAGGTGGATTTGGGGGCGTCATTCGAGGACGGGGAGGAGGAATGAGCGGGAACAGAGAAGGCGAGGAAATTCTTGAGGAGAGCGGTAATACAAGGGGAAGAGGTGGTTTTGAGATCAGAGGACGAGGAAGAGGAGGAAGGGGAGGCAGAGGTGGAAAATCCGGAAATTCGCAAACTGTACCTTCTTCTGAAGGTTTCCCCTCATTACCGCCATCATCTTCTAGCGCAAAGGTCGAGGGGACGAATAAAGCTCCAAACGTAGACCAACCCGCTGGAGCGTGGGCAGACGAAATGGCAACACCAGATGAGGCATCAGAACAAAAATCTTGGCCCGTGGCAGGGTAAAGCAGGAAAAACAAGGAAGGCAAAACATAGGTAGTAAAAGCATCGACATTCAGGCAGGCATTTAGGATAAATAGCAGACTCGTCCACGGACAGAGCAATTCAGTCGTAGAACTAGCACGAAATTAATCATTAAAATCATTCCTTTTCTGGCAATGTGTTTATTACAACTAAATCTAATTACAACGCAACCTCCAAAGCATCTCAATGCAATAATTCAAATCAATTCATGGAAAACATGTTTTTATCAATATCAGGCTGTCCCTGTGATTGCACCTATGTACACGGGGAAAAAAGTAAACCACATCTCAAAAGAAGAAGAAAACAACGTCCATCAATAAAAGGAAACACCCAACGCAAGGAAAGAAAAAAGACTAATGAAAGAGGCCAAATGATCCTATCCTGGAAGATGGTTCATGATCTCATAAGTGGTATCGTTGCTGCAAAAAAAAGGGTAATATTTCCGAGAAGAACAAGATCCCAATCCTCAAAAACTACCCCCCTAACCCCATCCCCAATCAACCCAAACTCAACGATACGCTTTGACAAAAATCCCCTGCATGAAACCGTAAGGCCAAGAACTTTTTGTATATCACATTCCTATCCGCTGCGTGATTAGAGGTGCCCAGTATCAAACTTAGGCCTTGGAAGCTTCCTGTGTGCCTTCTGCCTTCATTCTAATTTCCAGAACCTGGCTCAAGTACTGCAGGTCTTGTTGAGCTTTTAAATCCTTCTCCAAAATATCTCGAATGATTTCCCACTCAAGTGGCCGCATTTGGTAAGCCTGCGGCATCAGGAATTTAACCGTAGGAGCATAGAGATGTTGCCCAAGTATCCTAGCTGCAGTAGCCTCACCTTCTCGCTGCTGTTTCTGCTCGGCATTCATTTGTGGGGCGTGTGGTGGCTGTGGAACTTGCGGAGCGACGAAAGTGTTATTTTGTGGGTTGATAGGTGACATTGAGGGAGGAGCGCCACTCATGGTCATTTGTCGTTGGGGATGCGTCATGATGGATGGACTCTGAGTTTCTGGGGCGTTTTGGAAACTTCGCTCTGGTTCGGGTTCAGGCACCCAGTCCGACCGTACGACAAGGGCTACCAAAAGAATGGGCTGTGTTCGTTCCAAGGGAACTTGGTGTCCGTCTAGATTGATGACAAAATCGGGAATTGGGCCACCCGGTGCGACTGGAACTAAATAGGTATCCCGGACATTACCAACCAACCCTTTATTTGAAAGGACACCGAACCTGAGCTTCGTATAGAAATAGTTATACAAATCCTGGAAATCAGGCGAAGATGGATCGCCGGTTGGTGCGATGGAAACAACTACTACGTCTGTAGGAGGGCTATATCGGAGACTGCACAGATACTCATTGGCTTTGTCTTTGTCGATCCTTCCGGCAACCTTGAGCTCCTTTTGTAGAAGTTCTGTCCACGGGACTTTCAAGTGTGCACCACCGACGTGTTTTGCAGCTGCGGAGAATTTGGCAACAGAGTCCATAGTAACAGTGCCACGCCAAACGACATCAGGATCCGAGCTATACTCAGCGGGTGAGTAAGGTGGCGAATCGTTTTCGTCATCCTGAAGCAATTTGTCGATCTCCGGATCGACACCAGGTCCATTTGCCGGTGGAGCGATATTGGTTGAAGGCCTCCGAACGTGCTGTGAAGTGACTGGCGATTGAACACTTGAGAAGACTTTGTTGATATCGAAGTCGGCTTGACCAGATGCCTTTCTTGCAGGGGCATGATTTGGTCTAGTATCTACCGCGAGAGGTTGTTTTGGGAGAACCTGACCTCGGATATCATCTCGGGATCGATGATTGGTGTCAATATCCGCTGGGAGCTCGACCTCATTACCTGGTGAATTCTCTCGTGACCGGGCGCCCATATCGGCATTTGGATCAAGCATGCTTCGACGACGTGTAGAAGAAGACATGGGATTTTCGGTTGGAACAGTGTAACTTCCGTCTTCAACTATCTCTTCACCCTTGTGAGTTCTTCGAACCCTCGGTCCATCATCTTCGACCATAACAGATTGTATATCAGCTTGTGCCTTTAGCTCAGCCGTCTTAATCTTGAGCTCTTTACTAGCCATATCATCCGAGGACATGGTAGCAAGGGCGGTAGGATTCAAAGTCCGTGTAAGAAGACGATTGCATAGCTCTTGATTCTGTTTCAGATTGAACGCAATTGCACGACATTGGTTTTGGTATGCAGTCTTATCTCCTGGGTGGGTAACAAGGACGGCATTCTCAATCTGAATGGCGAGACGCTCAGTCTTGCTAGGCGCTGAATCACCCGGACTTAAATTGTAGATGCCTTGATGCAGAGCGTTGGTGATATTTGCGGCCATTCTATCCTTCAAAAACTTTGCAATAGCCTGTCTACTTGTTTCAAGTTCTGAAATCTTTGTAGGTAAATCAGAGGGAGGTGACTTTTGTTGAGGGGTGGTATGAGAAGCCGAGACCTTCCGGACTTTGGACTGGTGCTCCTGCTTTTTTCAATTAGCAATGAATTGGTTACGAGAGTACAATCGACTTGCCTTGACAGATTCATTTTCATGAGATGGTTCACTAGCTTTCCTTTTGGTGCTTGGTGCTCGAGAGACAGTTTCCTTCTTCTCAACCGGGGCGGCCGGAACAGGAACCGATGGGGATTTGGCCTTTCCATTGGTAGCATAGCTGATCTCCGAGGCTTCACTGACCCTTTTATTGGACTTGCCTTTCTTGCCTCCCTTCTTCTTTGAAGCCTGCTTTTCTTCGGCCAAAAGTTGATCGGCCTTCTTCCTTCTCTCCTCCCAAAGTTTCCTGCCCTTCTTCAAGGCATCGAGTAACTCTTTGTGAAGAGGGAAGGTGGGGTCACATTGTTCGCATTTGTAATTCTCCGGAGTATCCTCTTCGAAGCGAGTGAAGCCAACACAAATGTTATGTTGCCACACATCGCACTTATCGCAGGCGATCCATGGATCGGTATCATCGTTGCCCGTCTCTACGGCACCGCAGACACATCGTATGACCTCGGAAGCCTCAGCATCGTCCTCTTTCTTTTCAACCTTCTTCGCTTTCTTCGTGGCTTTCTTCTTAGGCTCGACGGGCTGATCAAGGAGGTCTAAGCTCTTTGTATGCTGTCCTTTGGTTGCGCGGACCGATCGTCGGGGTTCATCTATGTCGGACACAGTTAGCAAGCCGTTGGCGTAAACCAGAGAGCCGCGCGCATCGTTTTCCAGATGTTGATGTTGATGTGGATATGCGATGGTGGGGGATATAATTGCTTACCAGCCATGATTGACGGGATTGGGCCTCAACTGTTCTCAAAGGAAACAATTCTTCACAGATCGGAAGTTGATTGTGTAATTTACAGGGAGGGAAGCAAAACGGAATGGTGATGGCGATGGAGCTGATTTCAAATAGAGTACGCGCAGCGCCTTTTCTTCACGCGATGCGATCACTGAAGGAATGGCTCTACAGAACAAACTATGAGGATGTATGCTGCTGGACACAAAATAGAGAAGTAGAAGTGGGCAGTGTCAGATGGGGCTCTCAGTGTACGGGAGCGCCCGAGGGTTGGTTGGTAGTGAAGCCTCTTTCAGAGTCCTTTTCCTCGTCGGTCGCGCCTCTGTTGATTTCCGTCCCCTCCAAGGCTCGGATCGCGCGCGCGGTCGAAGCTAAGGACAGCAAGGGGCTGTGGATATCGTTGTCGGTAGGCCGGGTTGGTCGCAATACAGCTGCGATTGCAGTGCGAGGGTTGGATCAGGAACCAGGTCGTGATTGTTGGTATCCGACGAGATGGGAATTTTCCCAATGGAGGTTTGAAGTTGAATGGGCGAGTCTATGGATGCATCGTTTAGCTGATTTCCATTAGCTCGCTCCGCACGGAACTTGATGCGGGGAGATGCCGATGACGCTAGACTTCACTCGGCCAGGCAACGCCATATTAGTCAGCTTTTGCGTGCAGAAGCGAGGCGGCGACCTCTGCACCTCCAAAAGTTTTCAGCCTTCCGCCTCCTCCAGCAATTTCATCATCCAAGCTGGTCCTTGAGCAACCTTCCATTCCAAACAAACCACGCGCTCAATTCCAGCAACACGGATCTCAATTCGAACCCTTTACCAGTCATACAATTATAATACCATTTCTCTCCTTCCTAACCATGACCGACGTCCGCTCCCTCCTCAAAAACGAGCGCGCATCTCGAAGAGTTCAACATAAATACGCATCCTACACACCAACCGGGACCCTCCTCTGTATAGCATGCCACCTCCAATTAAAGTCCGAATCCCTCTGGGACGGTCATCTTCGCTCGGCAGGTCACATAATGCGCGTTCAAAAAGCCGCCGACCTAGCTCTCAATTCCACACCAGAACCGCAACTCCCAGCTCGCAATCCCACCCCTCCAACACTCGAAAACAACAAGAAGAGGAAAGCAAGCGAAGAGGACGACGGCACAGAAACCATCCGAAAAAAGAGTAGAGCAGCGAATGGCTTACCAGAGAACTTCTTCGATCAAGGTGGCCATCCCCTCGAACTCTCCAACACCAATCCTATAAACGACATCCAGATCCCCTCCAGACCCGCAACACCGCTTAAACAATCTCCTTCCTTCCCCGTTCCCCCCGCGGTCGATGAAAACGAATGGGCGGCATTCGAGGCAGATATTGCTGCAACGGAGGACATCGATCCAAATGCGGGCGTCATAGAAGCGAAACCCATCAGCGCGGCGGAACTAGAAAAGGAAAGCCGGGAAGAGAGAAAGGAGAGGGCTGAGCGGGATCTTGAAGAGGAGAAGGAAGATGCAGCTCGAAAGATGGAAGTTGAGCTGGAAGAAATGGAGGGGCTAGAGCAGCGAGTACGAAAGCTGCGGGAGAGAAGGGAGGCATTAAGGAAGAAAGAGAGTATTGCTAGCCTACCCATTCCTGTAGCGATGGTATCTACTTCAGTAGTGGAGGAAGATGATGATGATGATGAGGAGGAGGAGGATGAAGATGATTGGGATGGATTCCGAATGAAAGGGTAAATAAGGCTTGATTGCTTTCTGTCTGAATAGGTGTATGTCTACTTTCTTGTGTATCCGCGATTATACCCAGAAAAAATAATAATCAAAAGTCGGTGTTGGTTTGACTTTATTGTCAAATATGAGGTGTGATATAGGGAGAGGCTAAACCTTAGTATTAGACTATTCCTATTGTTGATATACACCGAGTCAAAGGTGTGGAAGTCGTACCGCTATAATATAGGCAGGACTAGCCTAGTTAGGTAGTCCGTGCTACTAAGTATATTTACTCGGATATTATAGTAATACTAGGCCTACTTTAAAAGAAGTAAAAGACTTAGTATAAATAACTAATTATCTAAAGTCCTTAATCAAATCTATTAATTACTCCCTTAATATTAATTAAGTCTATTAATACCTTATAATTTATAAATCTATCCAAATCTACTAATTCTCTATATTATTATTGTTGGTACGACCTGGTAGTCGTAAAAGGGTGATACACAAATATAATCTCTGTTTGTATTCATTCGTGTATGAAGAGTAAAGGTAAAGAGAGGTGGTACCTGTCACGAATCACGTGCGTAGCATGTGATAAGTGAAGACCAGGAGGCGTCCTGACAGGTTAAAGAACCATCACACACTCTTATAGCAAATAGGGATGCTTAGGCTAGCTAAGCGATCCAGGGATTTCTTAGCATCTGTATCACGTGACCAGTTTTGATCGCTGGGTCGCGAGCGAC